TGTGAAATCAGGGAGTGAAATTTCAAAATTCCTTAAAGAAGCTGGTGATTAAAATATTTTTTTTGGAATTGAGTCAAGAAAATAGGATGGATTTGGCACTTTGGGGCTCTGCTTTTGTCTCCTTACCTTGTTTTTGCCTCTGGTCTGCAGGGCTGGATGAGAGGATCAGGCCCTTCCCAGGCAGCAGGGTGCTGGAACTGCCTGCTCACAAACTCACAGCAGTTCAGGAACTCCACAGGAACTTCTGGATAAGCAGCACAGCTGTGGAATTCTAAGGCAAAGTCTCCCCCAGCTGCTTTTAGGCCAAGGTTCCAGCCTAAAACCTCAAATCATACAGCAAAATTTGGGGTTTGTTTCTTTCCTAGGTTTGTGGAGAACCAGCACATCTGGCAGAACTCATCAGCCAGGAATTCACATCACAACTGGTCTAAACATAATATAAACCCCATAAATAGAAATATAAATCACATCAATAGAAATAAACCTCAGAAGCACAAATATAAACCTCAGAAACACAAACATAAACCCCAGAAACACAAATACAAACCCCAGAAACACAAATAAAATCACACCCACCCTGGTTCTTGTCCTGTGTTGACACTGCTTTTATCAGACATCTCCAAATTTTGGGGAAAGTGCTACATTTGCTTGTTTTAGAAAACTTCCAAATGTCTGAGAACCTGCAGGGCTTTTCTGGAAATGAATTCCAGCTGAGCATTCCCAAAAACAAAGCCATGGATGTGCGGGAATCAGGGATTTGTCCCGAGGCAGCGCCACACGGACACCCCACATCTCGCCTGGGATCCATCAGCAGCTCCAGGCCCTGGCAAATCCTTTCCCAAGGTTTCCATAAATCATTTTCCAGCCTTTCCAGAGGAGAAGCAGCCTGGCTGCTCCACTTGTTTCTGTCTGGGAAGCAGCAACGCCAGTGCTGTGCCAGGAATGTCGCTGGGTTTGAACTGGAACTTCACTCCCTGTTTACTGGAATCTGCAAAAACACTTTTCAGCTGAGTAGGGCAGGAAGGAGGAAAGAAAACTCAACGTGGACATTCTGGGAATAATTACAAATACAGAATTATGGGAATATCTTCTCACCTAACGCCTTTGAGTCAGCAAAGTCAAGTGATTCCTGAGCTGAACATCAGCTGCAACTCAGCCTCTGGATTGCCAGATTCTGGGAAAAGGGATCTTGGGTTTGGATTTCTAATACCCTCTGGATTGTGAGATTCTGGGAAAAGGGATCTTGGGTTTGGATTTCTAATACCCTCTGGATTGTGAGATTCTGGGAAAAGGGATCTTGGGTTTGGATTTCTAAGCAACAGCCAAAAGCCAAGCCCATACATGAATCCACACCCCAAACCCATTAAATCCACATCACCAAGCCCATTAAATCCACATATCCACAGTAATTCCATCTTGTTCCCAGCTCTGGGAAGAGGCAGCTCCTCCCAACATCCTTGGCAACTCAGCTCCATCCTTGTGCACCAGTGAAAGTGGATTTGGTGACAAGCACTGACTGATGGCTTTGCCCAGTGGCTTGAGACTTTGGAGGATCCTGTGCCATTTCCAAAGGATTTGGAGGGGAAAATTCCATCTGCTCCCTGGAGGGAAGCTGGAGCACCACGTGCCAAGTGATGTCCCACACCCTGTACCTGTCCAGCAGCTCTTATCTCAGTTTAACATTTCCAAATAAAGATGTATCAAATAAAAAATAAAATTATTTTAATAGATCTTGATCAAGACAAACCATCAGCCGTGTTTTAACGTCTACTTGTTACAAGAGCATTTACACAGAGCAATCCCGTGGTGATCCCCTGGTGCTGCTGACACCACCCCAGAGGAAAGGTTCTATGATAAAATTCCAAGTCCAAATCCCACTGGAGCCCACCTTACCCAGCCAGCCTGGGCTGCTTCCATGGCTTGGAAAAGCGAGCTGTTGGAGAAGACTGGGACAAACTGTTCAGTGGACTCCAGAGGAATCCCATCAGTTCTTGGCTTTGCCCTTTTTGGCAGGAAGTCTCCCTGTTGCTTCCAGGTATTTGTTGATGATTTCCTCCTGAGTGCTGGCTGAACAGGGCTGGTATTTGGAGTATTCCATGGTGTATTCCCCTTTTCCCTGCAGAGTTGGGAAAAGAAAATGAGGATGGGCCATGTGCAACCCTGCTGGGCACACAGCTCCTGTCTGTGAAGGGATCCTCCACAAGCCCACCCAAACAAACTCCTCAGGTACAAGAGAATTGTTTGGCCAGCAATTCCACAGCTCTGGTCTGATCTGATCTCATTCCCTGCTGCAGCTGCCATGGACAGGATGATCCAATAAGCCCAAATTTACAGACTCAAACATGTTCTAGCAAAAAGGACCAGGAGGACTCACCTCTGTGCAAGACCTCAGCTCCGTGGCATATCCAAACATATCGTTCAGTGGCACCTAGAATCCAAACATATTTACTCAAAATTTCCCATCACTTTTGGGCTATCAGCTAATTAATCCCAATTATGACATAAAGTGCCAGTGCTGCCTGTAAACAGCTCTGATTAGCTGGTCTGCTGTTGTGAAGTATCTGTTACTTTAATTAATTTCTATTTGCAGTGTGTTTTCAGCAAGAAACCTCAACAATCTGAGACTTTGAGTGCACCAGGAGCTGGAATATCCTAAATTCAGTGATGAGTCAACCAGCAAGGTTTAAGGTATCTCCAGACATTCCTCCAAGGATAATTTGGGAAGCAGAAGGGCCACAGGGTGTGCTTGTCCTGAGCCCCTCACCCAGCAGGAAAACACCCAGTGATCCTCTCCAATCATTTTTAGGAGGGAGATAAAAGAAAGAAAAATGAAATTGAGTCAACCTACAACTGTATCCATATAAACTGAGGAAAACAACTGAATCAAACACAGGGAAGGGGAAAGGAAAGGGGAGGGAAAGGAGAGGAGCAGTGAGCACAGACCTCAGCATAGAGAGTGAAGTAGCCCTCGGAGCCGTCCTGGCCCGTGATGACGCCGTGGCGCCGGTTGATCCCTGCTATCACTGTCCCCTGGAATTCCACAGGAGCCACCACCTCCACGGCCATGATGGGCTCCAGGATGCGCACGGCAGCGTTCTCCATGGCTGGGGGAAGAATGGAATGAGGAATCCAACATCAAGGTGAACCTGGGGCAAGGCAAGCTGCTCCCATGCACAGCAGCAGATGTTTATGGTTAATGTTGGGGAAAAACCATGAGCAACACATGGAATTCCAGCTCTTGGCTCTCCTCCTGGAGCCACAATCACAGAATCATTAAGGCTGGAAAAGACCTCCAGGATCATCAAGACCAGCCTTTGGCTGACAGCACTGTACTCACTAAACCCTACTGTGAAATGCCACATCCACACGTTGTCTAAGCACCTCCAGGGATTGTCACCCCACCACTCCCAAGGCAGCCCCTTCCAGTGTTCAACCTCTCCTTCAGGGAAGGAATGTTTCCTCAAAAAGGCCCAGTCTGGCCAAACGTTCTCTTCCTACCCTGTAAGGATGAAACTGGTGGTGCTGTACTGAATTCTAGAAAAACAGGATTTCCTTTGTACACCACAGGAATTATTGTGCCTCCCTCAGGAATTCTATAAACTCTTGCACATGTTCTGCTCCATAAAACTAGGCAAGCTCTGCAGGGATGAAGGGAGGGATGGAAGGATGGAATGAAGGAAGGAAGCATGGATGGACGGAAGGAGAGAGGGATGGAATAGGTGGGTGGGTGGATGGATGGAATGGGTGGGTGGATGGGTGGATGGATGGATGGATGGATGGATGGAAGGAATAGGTGGGTGGGTGGATGGATGGAATGGGTGGGTGGGTGGATGGATGGATGGATGGAACAGGTGGATGGATGGATGAATGGATGGATGGATGGATACCAGCCAGCAGAACCCATCCAGGGAGGAGGCTGTACCTTGCTTCAGGGCTCCCTCTCCTGCCCTGATGAAGGAGATCTCGTTGGAGTCCACCATGTGGTGGGCCCCGTCCTCCAGCACGAAGCGCACCCCGGAGATGCGGTGTCCTGACACCAGACCCTTCTCACAGGCGTCTCGGAAGCCCTGGGAACGACACCTCCCCATCAGCAGCAGAACCTGCAGCCTCTGCACTGCCAGTCTCTGCCACCTCAGTCTGATTGTACAAACAAAAATCACACAACAAGGAAAAACGGCCTCAGGGTTTGCCTTTTTAACAGATGCCATGGCCAAACCCCAAAAGAATGCTCAGTGTGGAAAGAGCTCTTGCCTGGAGAACAAGATTCCTTTAAGAATATGGTTTTTTCAGGATTTGCCAAAAATCTTTAAGTGTTGCAGCATGGAAAAACAAAGGAATAATTGCAGATTATTACAGGAATTCCAAGATGTTGGTAGGTTAATTAAAGCTGTGTGTAATAAATTATACAGTGAGGCAGTCACAGAGGAGATAAAGAAAGAGAATTTGGGAACTGAGGCAGGAAATGCAGCTTAATTACAGTTTCCTCTACAACTGGCCTCAGAGAAGAACAGAAGTTACACATTTTGGGGTTGGGAGGAGAATTGTGGGGCCACAACCACAACCAGAAGAGGCCAGGAAAAAGCAGCTTGAGGCTCTCACAAGGGAAACAGGGGCAGTACACACCACCAAAGACAACAGCAGCTCCTGAATTAACTGAAAACCCCAGGAATGCAAGACATGGAGTAAAACCACACAGCTGTGATCCTGCTGCCACTGGAGCAACGGGAAAAGCCTCCCTTCCTGGGGCAAGGCAGGCACAGCAAATGTGGGTGGTACTGCAGGAACACAACAGCAATCAGGATTTTGTGTGTCACAGAGAATGGTCTGTACCTTTTCCACAGCGGGCACAAACTGCTTGGGAATATTTGTGCCAATGGTTCTGTCCTCAAATTCCAGTTTGGTGAAGTCCTCTGGCTCCAGGGGCTCCAGCACTCCGATCACTTTGCCATACTGGCCTGCTCCTCCCGACTGCTTCTTGTGGGTGAACTCAAACCTAAACCCCAACAACCCCCCAGACACCACGTCACTCGTGACACAATCCACAGCTTTCTGTGGAAAACATTCCCATTCTGAATTTCACAGAGTCACAGACTGGTTCGGGCTGGAAGGGAATTTAAATTCAAAATTCCATGGGCAGGGACGCTTTCTGCTATCCAAGGCTGCTCCAAGCCCCGTCCAACCTGGCCATTCCCAGGGATAGAGCAGCCACAGATTCCCCGGAAAACCTGTGCCACGGCCTCCCCACCCTCCCGGGGAAGGATTCATTCCCGCTATCGCATCTAACGCCGTGTGACACGCCGATACCTGTGCTGTGCAGGGATGCGCTGCCCGCGCAGCACCCGGCCCGGGAGCCCGCCCCGGCCGCTCGGGCCCCGCCCGGCGCTTCCTGCGGGAGGAGGAAGCGGCTCCCGGGCCATGGAGCTGCCTCCGAGCCACTTCCCGGCCGCCCGCGCCGCCGCCGTGGCCGTGGGGTACCTGCGGTACCTGCGGGGCGGCCCCGGGCGGGGGCTGCAGCTGCGGGAGCTGCGCCGCGCCCGGCACCAGGTGAGCGACACGGACGGGACGGGAACCGGCACCGGCACCGGGAGCCAGCACGGGAACCGGCACCCAGCACGGGAACCGGCACCGGCACCCGGCACGGGAACCGGCACGGGAACCGGCACCCAGCACGGGAACCGGCACCCGGCACGGGAACCGGGAGCCGGCACGGGAACCGGCACCGGCGGCCAGCACGGGAACCGGCACCGGCAAGGGCTTTTCCCATGGAGCGGGCAGAGCACGGGGACAGCCGCACGGGAGCTGTGGAGGGTCCCGCTCTGGGGACATCCCGAAGCCCCCGGGCGCGTCCCGCTGACCCCGCCTGGGCTGCGCGATGGGCAAAGTCCTTCCCAGCCGCGGCTGCTCTGGGGTTGTGGCACTGTCACCGCGGGGGTGACACCACCTGGGTCCGTCTGGGGGTCCTGGCAGAGCTCGGTGTCACCACGGGCGGGTCAGCGCTGTGGGACACACCCCGTGTGTCACCTGCGGTGACAGCACCGCGAGAGAGCCCTGCCCAGGGCACGGCACGGGCACCGGGCCAGGAGAAACCTCCCGGGGAGGAGGAGGAGGGTGCTGGGTGCTCTGTGGCTGCCAGGACACAGCTCAGCCCTGCCCGGGGTCTGCAGGGACACCTGGCACTGCGGGGGCACAGCAAACCCCCTCCCAAAACAAGGGCACAGCAAACCTGGCACTGCAGGGCCACAGCAAACCCCCTCCCAAAACAAGGGCACAGCAAACCTGGCACTGCAGGGCCACAGCAAACCCCCTCCCAAAACAAGGGCACAGCAAACCCCACCTGCTCCCTTCTTTATAGCCAGAAAAATACAGGACACAATCCGATTAATAATAACCTGCAAAATGGAATTAATAGAAGGAAGCACCGAAGGCTTTTAGGGGAGTATTTAACCAAGCAGCAAATTCATGGATAGCATCACACAGGAGCCCAAAATTGGCAATTCAGGGGTGTTCAAGGACAGAAATGAGGGTGGAGAGGCCCTGGCACAGAGTGCCTGTCCCTGGAAGTGTCCAAGGCCAGGCTGGATGGGGCTTGGAGCAACCTGGCATAGTGGAAGGTGTCCCTGACCAAGGTAGGGGTGACACTGGATGGGATTTAAGGTCCCTTCCAACCCAAACCATCCTGGGATTCTCTGATTTTGTCCAGGATGCAGCCATTCAACATTTGCCAAAACAAATGTTATTAATATTTTCCCTTTTTTAGGACATTGATGATGTGGGGCACAAGTACTACCTGGAACTGGAGCTGGAAGATGTCCTGGACAAAGTGAGTCAGACTGGTTTAATTACACACTCTCTGAACACAGCACTTAATATTTTGAATCATGCTCCTGATTTTTCTGTACTACCTATCAGGCCCCAAAAAGGCTGAATTTTAACCAAAAGGAACACCCTGACCACATGGTACCTTGCACCACACCACCAGACAATGCTGCAAGGAGGACAAGGACATTTCATCATCACCCAGCTCCAACTGAACAGCACAAGGGACATTCTGCACCCCAACCACTGCAGAAAGCAAATCCCACCCTTAAACATTCACAGAAATGCCAGGAATTTAACCTTGTCTTAAATAATCACAAACCTCTCCAGACCAGACTCAGAGAAAACAGCAACTACATAAAAATGACATTTTCAGAAGTGCAAATGACCCTGGTTATACACATATTCTATCAGATAATAATGCACATCATTAACTCTGCCACAGGACAGGACTGTCAACTGCACTGCTGAGGTTCTGTACCACCTGGGCAGCAAAACCTCTGCTCCAGATGTGCAGGTCACAGTGCAGGGAGAGCTCAGGAGCACAGAGGAAGCAGACAAGGAATTCTACAATCGGATCAGGAGCCTGGAAAAGGAGCTTGTGGCTGAGAACATCCCAGGTACAAGCCAGGGCTGGGAGAGGGCTCAGGCCTTCACCTTTCTCTTTTTGGGGGGGGTCTACAAGCACAGCCACTGCATTTATTCCTGATTCTGAGTGTTTTAGAAAACCAGCTGGCACTGGCACTGTCCCTGCTCCCTCTGAGGGTGTCCTGGCACAGCACATCCAACACCCCAAATGCACAACGAGGGGCTGCTCTCACCTCAGAGCAAGCACTGCCTTTGAGACCTGGAGTTTCTAGCAAGAGAAAAAAGTGGAGGAGAACACCCTGCAAGTGTCCCAGGCCAGGCTGGATGGGGCTTGGAGCAGCCTGGGACAGTGGAAAGTGTCCCTGCCATGGCAGGGGTGGCACTGGATGGGATTGAAGGGCCCTTCCAACCCAAACCACTGCAGGATTGTGTGAAGTGGGAGGAAAACTCTGTGGTGATGGAGCAGCTCTTCCAAAGGCTGTGGAAGGCTGTGTGACAGGGATTGGAGCAGCAAGCCCTGTGTGAGGTGACAATGCTCTGCTAAGGGCTCTCTTTAACATGCAGTGTTTATTTTGGTTCCAGACAGCCATGGGAACGTTCCCCCAGAGCTGGAGCCCATCCACCTGCTGGCCTGGGTGGCCTCTGGCTACGTGATCTGGCAGAATTCCACTGAAAACACCAAGTTCCACCTTGCCCAAGTTAAACACGTGAAGCAAGTGGTGAGTTACCAGCAGGAACAGAATCCCAGACTGGGCTGGGATGGAGGGACACTAAAGCTCATCCCATTCCCCCTCTGCATGGGCAGGGACACCTTCCACAGCCCAGGGTGCTCCAAGCCCATCCAGCCTGGCCTTGGCTTTCCCTGGAAAGTATTCATGAGCTAAGCAGTTGTGGCAAGGACAATAAACTAAATTAACAGAATGCCATAGATCCTCCCAGTTTTGCTGTGTTCTATTAGAGAAAATAGATTCTGAGTTAAAAATAACCCTAAAGTGATCATCAGCTTTAAATTCAAGGCAATTTTCCACAGGAGCCACAGAAAAGCAGCAGGATTTAGTGTTTAGAAAATGGAAAGCTCCAGAAGTTTTGTCCCTCTGCATAGACAGTGAATTCCCAGGAATTTCTGGGTCTGAAGGAAAGACAGGAATTCCTTGTGGGAGTAGGATTTGTGAATGTTTTGCTCCCTCTGATGGCATTTTAGAGAATTCACAGCTGCTGCAGAGCTGTGCACCAGCAAGAGTTCAAAGATTTTCTCTAACAAACTTAAGGATAAAGGAGACAAATAACTGTTAACTAACCCAGCTGCCATCTCTCTAGTTTTGTCCCTTTTTCCCTGAAAACACAGGAAAATAATCTATTCCAAAGGCCAGGGTTTATTTTGTCACTCAGAATCCCTGGCTGTCACTCACAGAAAGGCCTCTGGAGTGTCCTTATCCTCCTGCCAATTTTATTTGGGATTGTTTGGGTTAAACTGACACCTGCTAGAATGAGGTGTTCCCATCCCAAAGAATTCCTGACAGATCTGGTCTCTGTAAGGCAGGAATTAGCAGCTGAAAGCTTTACATTCAGTGTCTCCAGTGCAGTTTTGGAGGGCACAGAAATTCAAACCAGGAACTGTTAATTTTGTTACAGTGCCTGAGCTCCACCTGCTTCATTTGTGATCAGGAGCTGCCAGTTTTACCTGAAATCCATCAGGGAATTTTTGTGATAACCACAGAGAACTGAACCACTTTTTCTGAGGTGGGAGAATCCCCAAATTCAGCCTTTTCATCCTGTCTTTCCAGAAAAGAAGTGATGAAGATCTTCAGTTTGACTTTGTGGTTCTACTCCATGACATGGTGTCCCAGGTAAATATTTTTATTCCCAAAAAGCCTTTTTTGGGTGTTTTGAGACTGCAGCTGTGTGAGCTCCAGCTAGACACAGATCTGATCCTGCAGGGTGAGCTCAGGGTCCCCATCCCTGCCTGTCTCAGCATTCCAGAACAACAGCAGCAACTTCCAGCCTGGGGCTTTGGTGGGAATGGCTGAGGTTCAAAACTGGTCCCTCCCAGCTCTCCCTTGTGCCAGAGTGGGCAGGGATAAAGGGAAGGGGCAGCTGGAGCATCCTGGATGCTCAGCTGAATTCCAGCTGGGCTGTGGATGCCTCCATGGCCCAGGACAGAGACCTCAGCAATCCCAGTAACCCCCAGCAGAAACTGGCTGCCAGAACAGCATTTACATCCCGTGCTACTCTCCAGCAAAATTCTGGGATCTGAGCAGGTGTTTTCATAGGAAAACCACAAAAAATTGGGAAGGGAAGCTCTTGCCTGTAATAATCCAGGGATCTCCCTCCCAGCTCCAGTTCTGCTGCTCCTGACCCCCTGCACTCCCATTCCCTCGGGTTTAATTCCCAAGTTTTCCATTAGAAAGCTCCTGGCTGGCTAGAGGGGGCAGCAGGGTTGCTGACTGTGCTGTGTGTGCCCCACAGGAGGTGCTGCCCTGGGAGGTGACCCTGCTGTGGCACCCCCAGCGCGGGGCCCGAGTGTCCCAGAGCCGCGCCGCGGGAGCGGGGAGCTCCTGAGCACCCTGGGGACACCTGGGAGCTCCTGAGCACCCTGGGGACACCTGGGAGCTCCTGAGCACCCCTGGGAGCTCCTGAGCACCCCTGGGGACACCCCTGGAAACTCCTGAGAACACCTGAGCACCCCTGGGAACTCCTGAGCACCTCTGGAAACTCCTGAGGAACACCTGGGAACACCCCTGAGAACACCTGAGCACCCTTGGGAACACCTGGGAGCTCCTGAGCACCTCTGGAAACTCCTGAGAACACCTGAGCACCCCTGGGAACACCTCTGGGAGCTCCTGAGCACCTCTGGAAACTCCTGAGGAGCACCTGGGAACACCCCTGGGAACTCCTGAGCACCCCTGGGAACATGTCAGAGCTCCCACACCCAGAAGGGGAAGGTGATGGAGGGGAACACGTCAGAGCTCCCACACCCAGAAGGGGAAGGTGATGGAGCGGGGACCAACCACAGTACAAGACATTAAATGAAACCTTCCTGGGCATTTGTGATCCCAGCATTCCAAAGGGACTTCCTCTGCCTCCAAGGGGGGCAATGCAACAATTCCCAGCAGGAGTACTCACGGCACAGGGGCAGAGATGTTCTCCCTGAAGGCAACTTTGGGCTTCCCCATGGTGCAAGGACAACCATATTCCCTCTCCATTCTCTGCAGGAAAAATCCACAGTGATCAGGGTTATTCCACTGGGATCTATTTAGTAACTTCATCAGGATTAATCACTTTTTTGGTTGGGCGTTGGGTTGATTTTTGGGGCTTTCTGTAATTTTTTAAAAATTAACAAATTATTCCCCATCAACTTCTTTAAGACCTGCAGCTTCATATGCAGGAAAAGGAAACAGCATTAATTATGTTATTAAAATTCAAGTTTTTCAAGGCAAAAATCACTTTTTCTTCATTCTGTCAATATTTAAGATACATCTTTTTGTGTTAAGATTAAAACATAGACATGAGCTGGAAAGAAACAAATCCCTCTAACTACTCCTTTTCCCCTGCACCAGCTACTATTAGGGAATGATACATTTAAAACCACAGAAACAGGGGATTTTTCTGTAGAATTATAATTGGGTATTATTAATTACTATAAGCAAAGGCTACTAGAGCAAAGTGTAGTGTTTAATACATTTTTATGGGTTGTACCAAATCCTAAAAATATTCCAGGCAAAATTTCCTTTTAGAAACCTTCAGAATGGAACCACTGGAGAGAAAGAACCTTCAAAAGTTGACTTTAAAGTTCAGCTTTTCCCTAAGCAGCTGGAAGGATTAGGGAGGAGGAAGATGAGATGGGAAAAGCAGGCAGAAGCAGAATCCATGGGATGTGCTTCCCAAATTACCTGGGCATAGATTTCCAGGTGCAGCTCCCCCATCCCAGAGACAATGGTCTCCTTGCTCTCCTCATCAAAGTGGATCCTGAAGGTGGGATCTTCCCTGGTGAAGCGGCCCAGGCCTTTGGAAAATTTATCCAGGTCATTCTGAAACACAAGCCAAGATTCACTCAACATCCATGAGCCATTCCAAGAAAAAAGCCTCAAGTTTTCCCAACCACTACTGAGCATTTCTGCTCTTTGGGGTTACTTTATGGAAGACTTAAAACTCTTGATTAAAGTGTTAATTATTTATTTCAAGTTCATGTTTCTGGCTGAATGACAGCATCCAGCTCAGCCCTGGGTTATCCAAGGGATAAAATCTTGGATATTGGGATAAAACACTTCCAAACAGTGCTTAGACTGTTCCATGAAATCACAAAGCAGCAAAGGGAGGGAACTCGGGGAGAAGAGGCTGATCCAAAGGCTCCTACCTTGTTGGAAGGCTTCATAGCCACAGAAATGACGGGATCAGGGACGTGGATGGATTCCTGTGTGGCCAAGGAAAAGGGGATTATAAATTCCAGCAAAATCCTGGTGACTGGCAGTGCCTGAGGCAGCCAGGGCAAGGGGGGCTCACCATGGAGATGTCAGTGCTGGTTTTATCTGTGAACGTGTCCCCGCTGGCACAGTCGATCCCAAACAGGGCACAGATGTCCCCAGCATAAACTTCATTTACATCCTGAGGGAAGGAAAATTCCTCTGCAGACAACACTGGCCTAAGAGAAGCTGTGGCTGCCTCTGGATCCCTGCAGGTGTCCAAGGCCAGGCTGGACAGGGCTTGGATCACCCTGGGATAGTGGAAGGTGTCCTTGCCCTTGTGGCTGGATGATCCTTAAGGTCCCTTCCATCCCAAACCATCAATTCCCAGACTGATTCTCTCACATCCAAACTCCACCTGGATTATAGAAGATCCATAAACATTGTCTTTTAAAGCTTGACACTGAGCTCCTTAAAAACTTCCAGCTTGGATAAAAAGCCCTGCAAATCTCCCTCTTTATTCAAAGGACAAAAGGGAGAGCTCAGCTTGGATTAATTAATGATCAAACAAGAAGCAAAGTTGTTTAGAAGCAAAGACCATCCTGTGCTTCAGGATCATCATCCAGGCTGATCCAGGGGCTCAGGCAGAGCTGATCCACCCAGGGTGATCCACCCAGGGTGATCCAGGGGCTCAGGCAGAGCTGATCCACCCAGGGTGATCCACCCAGGGTGATCCAGGGGCTCAGGCAGAGCTGATCCACCCAGGGTGATCCACCCAGGGTGATCCAGGGGCTCAGGCAGTGCTGACACACCCAGGGTGATCCAGGGCTGGCAGCCCATCCCCAGGGAGCCACTCACCTCCATGTTGTCCGAGTGCATCCGGACCAGTCTCTGCACCCTGACCCTCTTCCCCGTGCGGGTGTTGTAGATGTAATCTGACTTCTTCAGCATCCCCTGGTACACCCTGACGTAGGTTAACTGCCCAAACTTGCCAGCCTGCAAGCACAACCATCAAAATCTGATCATTCTGGGATCATTCTTCAGAGATACCTCAGGTTTTAGCTTTTCTTTGTTTCAGATCCTGAGCTGCTTTAGTGTGCAGTTCTGAGCTTCACACCAGGGGATGGTGAGCTCTGCACAGAGCAGGGAGACAAAACAATTCCTGCTCCAGCTGGGCACCAAGGACAAATGATCCAAATCTCAGCCCAAGAGCACAAACCCCGTGGGCTGGAGAGAGAAAAACAAGCAGGATGGGAGTGCAGGGGCTGAGCTGGAATTGGACACTGAACTGCAATGTGCACATGGAGCAGAGCTGATCCCAGGGAGAGACCCCGGGAGCGCTCGTGCATTTTGGGACCATTTGGGTTCATCTTGGCTGCAGCCCTGGCTGGGCTCTGGTGCTGCCCAAGGTGGATCCATGGAGGAGATCCTTTGAATCAATCCCTAATTTATTTTTTGTCTCTGTCTAGCCACCAGCACCAATTCCAAGCACCAGCTGCACTGACTACATGTGGTGTGAGTTTCCACACTACAAATGGAAACGAAAGATTCTTAACAGCTTTCATTTGGCTCTGCAAGGGAATTTGGCAATTTTCTGAACCAATTTTTCACTCCCAAACCTTCCCAAGAGACACATGCTACCATGGAATGTGGCCAGCCATTTTCCATTTCCATAGGAATCCTGAAGTGCTGCTGTCTAAGTAGCAAACAACTTATTTGCTTAAATCTCTGCACTTTTTCCTCTCTGACTCTCTCATGTCCCATTGTTTCTAAGTGAAGGATTTTCCCCTGAAAATATTTCAGTTAAGACAACAACCCCCCAGATGTTCAAGTTCTAGCTAAGAAAACCAGGAAATACTTGAGGTCCACAACCCACCCTGAAGTTCCAAATTGGCAGCACTTGTGGATTTTATGGTTGAAGCCTTTTTTTAAAAAAAGAAGTTAAATTTCAATTGAAGTCAAATATAAACTGCTTTTCAGTATAAAGTGATTTAAAAGCCTGCTGTAGGTGAGTTTTGGTAGCACCACCTGGGCTCTCTCCATGATTGTGGGAAGGAGCAGAGGGAGACTCACCTCCAGCTTGAAGGCAAGGCCGATAAAAGGCTGGGAATCGTCACGAGCAGAGTTCAACAGGAACTTGGTTTGGTCCTGAGAATCCCTGAGAAACAGGGATGAGAGGGAGCAGAGGTTAGGAACCAACACAGCAGTCTCCTCTAAACATTTACAGGCTCTGCCGTTGGGGTTCACACATCTGGGTGGGCTGTGCTTCCAGGGAACAGGGACAGGAGGAGAGGGAAAGGCCTCAGGGGAGGCTCAGGGTGGAATCAGCAGGAATTTCCTCATGGAAAGGGTGGTGAGGCCTTGGAAGGGGCTGCCCAGGGAGCTTTGGAGTACCTATCCCTTGAGGTGTCCCAGGAAGGGCTGGACATGGCACTCAGTGCTCTGGGTTGGGTGACAAAGGGAGAACTAGGCACAGTTGGACTCAAAGATTCCGGAGCTCTCTTCCAGCCTCAGGCATTCTGGGATTCATGTCCATAAGAATAAAACACTATTCACACACTTGGGATGTGCTCCCTCCTCTAGGCAGGCCTGGTTTTAAGGGCTGCCATCAATTCTAAAGAATTATCTGACAATCATTGTCCAAATGCAACAGTGAATGTGGTAAAATCCCAGCACAGAGTAACCCTTGAATGAGAGGAGCTGTGGGACTTTGTGCCAAATGCTGGTGGCACTGTTTGATACCAGTGGTAAAAGATTGTGGATGTTGTTAGGAATGTTTCCTGCTTTGAAACTATTCCATTGAATCCTAGACTGGTTTGGGTGGGAAGGGTCCTTAAAGGCCATGCAGTGCCAGGGGCAGGGACACTCTCCCTGCCCCTGGACACTCCTGCTGCTGCTGGATGCACTCACCCCTGGTTGAGGAGAGCGTAGTTCTCCACCTCAGAAGGATTTGGAAGGTATTCCAGGACAGCATCCAGCAGTGGCTGCACCCCTTTGTTCTTCAGAGCACTGCCCACAAGGACAGGGGTGAAGGATTTCTGCAGCGTTGCTCTTCGGATTGCCAGCTGAAAAACGTCCCTGTGAACTCCTCCTGCAGCACAGCCCAATCCCCTGGCTTTCCTGGGCTTCTCCACTCCTGGAGCAAAGAGCTGCTCCCACAGTCCCCTGGACACCCCTCAACACAAGGGCTTCCCATAAAACCTGCTCTCCAAGATTCTTCAACAGATTGGGAATGGGCCTTCCCCGGGGGCAGCTGGACTTCAGCTGAGGTGACACAACTCCAGCGAACAGAATTCCTGATACATTTACTAAGGAATGAGGGGACAGGGAGCACAAGGAAGGTACCTTTAACTGCGCAGCTGTGGGCACCTTCTCCTCCAGGAACAGCTCCCCCAGGAGCTCGTCGGCGTTGGCCACGCACTCGATGAGCTCCCGGCGCCGCTCCGCAGCCTCCGCCCGCAGCTCGGCCGGGATCTCCTCGACCCTCAGGGTCTGCCTGCACACACAGGAGCACACTGACCCCCAGGAATTCCACAGGGATCTGCCTGCCC